CTGAAAATGAAGACTGCATTCCCTACACTCTACGGCGAACTCCGACGAAATTAAACTCTCATAAGTGTTCACAACAATCTCCCTATTCGAGTAAGTAAAGGATCTGGTCCCACAGGCATCCGTGTCGTTGTCTGTCAAATGCCTGTTCTCATCTCTAAATGACATGTTGGGCAAGATGGCAGTCTGACGGGATTTCCCTCTAATGAATAAATAATGAGGTATGCTTGTCTTATCCGTTCTAGTGTTGACAGTTGTATAAGCGCTCAGAATTATGTTTTGCTCGCCTTATCAATACAAGAATTGCACACATACGACCACATTTGTTTTTCCAATCCGCGCTAATGATGCATGGAAGCAAGTCAAAGTTAGCTGAAGGAACAGAAATTGTGGAAACAATGACAGAGAGGAAATAAGGGCATTGTCCGCAAAGATGAAGGAGATAAGAGTGGTAAATTCTGACTCATAAGCCATTATTAGCAAGTTATATCCGACCCCAGGTGGTGCATCGCCCTATGTTCGGGCCCGCAAACTTTAGATCAGAAGTCCGTCCTTCTTCTTGGTAGGCTAGACGGGGAATATTGACATTTGTTGATGAATATTCACTGATCACCGCTCACCGCAGAAAGGGACGAGTGAGTTCCATTAGCAGTAGGTGAGCGCCCATCAATGAATGGCAGAAATGAAAGTAGAACTTTCAGCAATTTTCAGGTAACGAAATGTACAGAAGAAGGAACTGTAGAGAGAAATATGAAATATTTAGAAACAGTCGCCCTCGATCATGGTGCACAAGATGCGTGTTAACGCAATGAAGGTTAGCTGGCTTGAACTAGTTTATAGAGAGATAGACTTGCGCAAAACCGGCCACACTCTTCCCTCCCAACTCAATAGGCTGCGACGACTAGACCGTGTCAGCAGAATCAGGGATGAACTCGGGATCGCTGCCTGAAAGTGCTAAACAGCACATCTACGCGGGCACCATGCAAATTGATCCCCATAGAATGAACAAGACTTAATGAAACTGGGCACCCCTGATCCTGCCTAAATGTGAGTGGCATGTGGACCACATTAACAAAAAAGGCACTTGAGCTTGACTTTCTGACCGCCAGTCAGTTAGTCCATACGCATGTCTTGTATTGCCTAACAGAATCAAGTTTTCTATCCCTTGGCAGCCTTCCAAGCCAAAATCTTCATCGCTTTGTCGTAGATCCGAACGCATCAGGATCTGCATATTGCTGAATTGACCGTTGTACCGTGGGGATCGATTCCGCGGTGTAGGTCCTGCCCCCTCCCCCCCTTCGTTTTCGTGTGCAAGTTGACTGTGTGAGCGTACCACACCAGATGGCGATGAAACAGCGCAAGGGGCTGACAGAAGAAAGCAGAATAACTACGTATTCCAGACATGGCGCTAAAAGACATGCCTCCCAATCACGTGAGCTGAGCATGAACCAACATGCGATTAATCTGATGCCATATTTTTGTACTTACCCAGCTTTGAGTGATTTGAGGCCTTCTACAACCGTGGTGCGGTTAAATGTGCGCATGTAGGCGGCCATCTCGGGGAAGTTGATCTTAATGTTCTCCTCCGTCGCTCCGTTGGGTACCGTAGCAAATCGGAAGGGCGGCTTGTGATTCCACGGCTGCTGCAGCTGTAGAAAAATGGAAACCGGCTGTCAGCTGTCAGCTGTTTCAAGCAATACTGTTTGTACTAAGCATGCTTACCCTGAAACTATGCAAATTTACGTTTTTGGCATCAGATGACGGCAATTTAGTACAGACAATATTAAAAGGTAAACTGGCGAGCATACGTTTGCTTTCGATCAATTCTCTTCCGGTCTGTATATTTATATTGTACTTAAATGAACAAACTATGCCGGTTGGTGGAAAGGAGTAATGCTTTTGTCAGGGCGGACACACTAGTAAAATGACTTGTGTCGACTATCGACATAGTTCAGCCGTTGCGGGCGGCAGCTTCCATCATGTGCCCCTAGGAGTGATTGCAGTTCCGCTGCCTTGAACTTGGAATAGTGAAACTTATTTAGGTGACATCTACCGCACCGTTTTCTCCCTCACTCCCCAGAAGCCGACGACAAGACAATGTCAATATGGCCGGAGATTGGTGTGTACGGAGATGCTGAAACTGCTCAACAGTTCGTCCGCATCTGCCGGAAATGATCTGGTACCACCAGCCTAAATCAGGCGTTCATAGAGTGTATAGCGATATAGAAAAGCGATAGAGAAATTCATGATACTTGATCAGTTGCTTTTCATAAACTGTAGTTTCGCGGGCATCCGGAGAGAAGTTTCTTACATAGTCAGCATTTTGTGGGGACTAACATAAGTATGGACTATTCTGCAGGTTGCTATGATTATACAATCCTATGCAGTATCCTTTGTAGTCCTAGACTACATTTACTTATGTTGGTTTTCCCTTGATGAGATACTTTACCTCCTGATATTAAAAAGAATGCGTTCTCCTAAATTCTCCAAGACATCTTAAATATCCGCGTATAACTGTTGAATATCGATTGACCTCAAGCGAGCTTTACGGATTTAAAAGGGGAGGGCACAAAAATATATCAAGGCTATAACCATACCTGTATCAATTAAACAATTTTGGCCATTTGGGGGATTCAGTTTGAAATTTGTTACCTCAGTATAGTTTAAGTTAAATTTTAATCTGGTCGCCCCCCTTTGATACCCTAGCACCGAAATGTGGTGTTACGGGACCGGAGGTATTAACTTAGTTTTTTCTTCATTATTTATTTTATTAGTTTAATTTTTGTTTTAATTTAGCTTCATATTTAGTTTAGTTGGCTTTTTTATCCTACATAAGTTTTATTTACTATAAAGTAGTTAGTTAAGTATACTTGTCTCAGGTTGGCTGGATCTAATTAAACAGAAAAAAACTTAACTTTAATTATAAAAACTAAAAGAAACCGCAGGAATAGGGGCTAGGAGGACCTAAGATGGGCGAGTAACTTAACTTTTACCCTTACTTCCTTTTGGCGATATTTTTCATTGGCTGCTGACCTGCCACGATTTACATCTAGGCGGTTTATCCAGTTACCGCTGCTTTTTAACAAGTAGCTTTTTGCTGATTTTTCAATTAGCGCTATTTTCCTTTGTTATGTATTAGATTTTTGATACTTTTATCTAATATTTTCTGCTTTGTTTGCCATATTTTTTTAATCATATCTCCTGCTGCCCCGTAATGCTCCCCCCCGTGCCGGTTTCCATACTACACGATTCTTGGCGTTTTGGTTTCTGTGGTGCTAAGTATAATAAATTGCTACCGGCGAGGGATCAAATAAAGTGTCAGCTCAGTTAAGGTGGCCGAATAACAGCAAGCACACTAAAATATTTTCTTACACACTGTTTGACTAGAACGAAAAATCGGTATGCCAGCGAAATAAGTGCTAGGATTCAAGTGCTATGACGGGAATGGACCTTACCCCGGGAAATCTAGCACGCAGCCACCAGTAGTACGTTGAGGAATACTCATGCCATTGTCCAACCGGCAAATATACATAAACCATGCGTGGCTTGCACAGAAGTACGCAAATGAAAAGACCAAAGCACTTTGTTTGCGCAAGTAGCTACGAGGATCATGGTGGGTGATTAATGGGAAACTGTCAAGAAATACATAGACCCTTGTTCCGGTTACTTCTGATTGTTGCGCACAAGGAAAAGAGAAAAGGAAACGCGAGACGAGTGAACGAGCCTGGGCAAGGGAAAGCAGATGAAAATACTTCCATGCAAACTGTCGGACCATGTGCGTCTAGTACCGAATAGCAAAAAAAAAGCCCCCACAGAACTGTCTCGTCCGATTTTTAAGCGAGTGCGCAAGTATATAGAAAGCATACGGAGTGGGTGGTCGTTGGGCAAGCGCCAGAGGATGCTAAGTGCGTGCTCTTGCGCGACTAGCTTTACGGTGCAGACGGTATCTCATGCAAAAGGCCGAAAGATTGATAATCGTTTGCAAAATAGCATTAAATAGGGATCTAGTACTAGTTATTATGCAGCCTTATCTCAAATCACTTAGGTTAGGATAGAATGCTGGCTTCATAATGACATTCCTCCTGATAGCTTACGAGGAGAATAATCAGCAAAAAGAGGCTGCCTAAGTAGTATGCATTTCACTAATTGACTTTGACCACCCTTATAAATTCAAATGTACTTTATTGGAAGCATTTGTAAAATTATTCTGTCCTGTACTTGTTCGGTAGCAAATTAAGATATCTTCGAAGTTTATATTGAAAGGAAAGATATATTTGAGAGTTACAACGATTTCTTATGAGACATTTTGCCACTATAAAATTTTCATTTGTAACACATCGTATCCGTAGATTTATTAAAGATCCGAATAATGTGTACGGTATAATCCAGATCTAATGCAAAGTTTAATGATAACTATATGTATTCTTCCTTACACCACAGGAAAAAAATTACTTTCCCTTAGACAGGATGCATATGACGTGCATTTTGGAAACCTTGAGTTCAAGTGTTATGGTTGGTCAGTTTCCAAATTATTCAGAAATTTAGACAGTTTTATTCAAATCGAAATATACCATTTTTGAGTATAAAACCCAAGAAGGCGTGATTTGCTACTAAACGCGTACAAGAAACAGTCATGCTTCCAATAAAATATATTTGAATTTATAAGGGCAGTCAAAATCAATGAGTTAGCTACATACTGCGTAGATATCCGTTTCTTACAGAATATACTTCAGGAAGAAACTCGTAAATAAGACGGCATCCTAACGCAAAATTAATTGAGTTTAGTTTAGGCTAATTAGTATAAGAACTCTTCCTAATGCCGTTTTGCGAGGGATTATCAATCTTTCGCATATTTTAACATTTTGCATTAAAAAACTGACCACATTCTGGGTCTCAAGGGTTGCGTGCGGAAACAAGATGCTGAATAGCGGGAGCAGCCTCCTTTCTATGCGTGACACGGCGATGAATTCGTCTAAACAAGCCGGATTTTTTCTACTTCTAATGGTTCTAAGACATCCGAGCATTTGACGTGCTTTTTTATGACGTGACGGTTTCTCGCACGGTAGTCGTCTCATAGCAAAATGTCGACCTAAAAGGACAACTTCGTGAGCATACGTTTGCATTCGATACAATATCGCCAGGTTTTCAAATTGATAGCATTCTTTTTCTGAGTAAAATATGCCGGTAAGTAGAAGAAATCTAGCGGTTTTCAAAGCGAGAAGGAAGAAAGATTCGGTCAGCAATTTGACCAATACCAGCACGGTTCTGATTGCCGGGAACGGTGGTTACTTGCTATCATGATCCTTAAGTTACTGCATATTGACTATACACTTTAATAGGGCTCTTGTTCTTGTGTAAAGTAACTATAACAACTTTATCAATGACTATCTGAATCAGGTATAACATCAAAGAAAAGCCCCATACCTTTTCAAGCAAATCCTAACTGTAAATTTATATTTGCACGTATTTGAATTTACACGTTTAGACCATTAGAAAGAGCGTATTTGGAACTAGAACAAACCCGTCTTGTAAAAAAATGTTCTCGTTTGCCACCGAATTCCACTTCAAGTATGCATGGACTTCCTGTGCACTCTTTAACTTTTTACTTTTAAATGGTAGCTGGAATTAGTAGAAAAAGGTGTCGGTCAATACGCACATCTCTCCCTTGGATTATTCGATAGTGAAGCAGCTTTGCATAGCATCTGCCGAACTTTCTATTCTCTCACCAACCTCGTCCCCAGGGTGACACCGACTAGTAGTGGTATTTGGCGGAATAGCTGATAAGGCTAAAATAACTCGTATGCACCTGCGACATGTACGGAATTCCAGAATTGCTGAGTTCTCGCTCGCCCCGGAAGTGCACACAGTTCAAATAAATGATACGGTTGAGAAGAAGAAGACGACTCGATCGCTGGGACCATATGTGTATTCGCGTGACGTTTCGAAATCCATCGCGTATTCATCATCAGAGACATACTCACAGAACAGTAGCAGAAACAGTTTGTGTGTGCACAGGGTTCCGCCGTTTTAGCAAATGAGACGGTATTGTGCCTGAATCTCAGTCATCAGCTCACTGGGGCTAGCATAGAAAACCAAATTATGCCATCCGTTGGAAGCCTACTAAACCACGACCTTTAAAGCCACTTAATGGATTTAAATGCTTAAGGGTTACCATAGTGAAAGGGTAAGATAGACTCAAAGGCGAGAAGTGTACGAGCTATTACGAGCGTCAGCATCGAACAGAGCTTTGGTGAATGATACGTCTCGCGATTTCCAGTGGAAAGATAGTTCGTTTTTCTTTGTTCACTGAGCATCATTGAAGTGTGCATAATTGATGCGCCTGATGGCGTAGCAAAAAAGCTGTGTTGTTTGCTGAAGCACATCAGACAATCACAAAGGGATTACGTTTTCCGAGAACGTCAATTCTTCCAATGGAATTACGTCAGACTGGGGTAATTTTCTCTATTGAGAATCACCAGGTTGTCGTCGGGGTGAATATTAAAGCTATCCCGAGTGAACATTTTAGGTGGGTAATTTCTACTGGTCAGCTGTTTCCGTGGAACAGTGGATACACAATGACAAGCTGTAGTTTTAAGTAAGAATTGAAAAACAAATATTATGTACACCAGTGTGCTCAGTGAGCAGTGATTAACGATTATTACTGATTGTGTCAAGTTTTGCTGAATAAGTGTACCTCAACTTAAATTTAGATAAATGAACAAGTTCCACTAGTTGTTACGTTAGTACATCTTACCCGCGGTAGGAAATGTAAACAGGCGTAAGTAGCCGAATTTACTGGTACTCCTACGTTTTGCGAGACTATATAAACTGTCACTCGTCAGTTAATTACTCATATAACGAAAACGAAGCAGCTAGCTAGTGAAATTTGCAAAAATAGTCGACGAAAAACAAACATCATTGTCTACACGATTAGAACTATAACTTAAAGGTTATAAAAATGGAAAAAGTAACACCCGGAGAAATGGGGATTGTCAGGATCTGTCAATAACCTCGGTATCAGAAGTGCGCTTTAATAGACACCCACCATATTTATTATTGAAAGTTTTCTTTCGTGGGTGAACTTAATTATGCGTATATAATGGACCTGTGTGTGGGCGCTGCATAACTTGACTCCGTTTTGCCTGAAAGTAACAAATTATAAGAGAGTAATTTAATTTATACTATATTTTAAAGACTAAAACTTAGCTGCTCCTTAGCGCGTTGCACTCAATCCGTTCTTTTAAAATCCTACGCACCTCAGAATGAAAGAAATTTCTGACAGTGCTACTAACTGTACTAGCATTTTCTCGCAGTTGATAGTAATATGCAATTTAAAGGTATGGAAAAAGAACATATGTTCTCATTCGACCGCAATACAAGAAGGCATGACGGGCCGTTGCGTGCAAAAAGTCTACTCTGTGCTTCACGGAGTAAGTGTAGCTCGGGGATCTTGGGCGAGAACTAGTTGATAGGGAAGCATATTTTACACCACATCTATCAAAGTTTCTCACGCTCTCTTCCTTTAGTACGCTTACGTCTATGGCAGGCTGACTTCAAGGCAATCTGGGGGTGGGCTCAGGCGTGGTGGTTAACAAGGCTAGGCAACTCGCCTCCGGGTGTGCCAAACGCGAACTATGCTCTGCAGCATGTACCGGAAGCGCAGAGCGGAGGACGTTAATCTTTCGTGCGTGAGATTCATAATAATTCCGAGACGGGTTTGCAAACTCTTCCTAGCGCTAGCTAATCTAGATAACGAATGACAAATACAAAAAGCGACTTGCATGTACACTGAAAAATGAAATGAATCAGCAAGAGAACTGCTC